ACTACAGCCAGGCTTTTCAAAGTATAGTGCCACCGCTCAATAATCCGTTTGAAAGGGAACCATGAGGTTTCGTGCTATGAAATCTTTCTCAATCGATTTTTCGTAGTCGATAACCTATCAGTGGAGCAAAACATTAATATCGCCTCACTTTCGGAAAAATTTTTTGGATGAAATTTTTTTCTTTGTTTCAAAAGTATGTGCACACTTGAAGAAGATCAGATTTTGGCGCCGAATTTTCCACCGATTTCAATCCGACTTTGCTGTTTTCATTTCGTCATCATGTCAATTCGCGCCATACTTCTTCCTGAAGATGAGCAAGCTCAGATCAAGGTTCTGCATGATAATGAACGTTCCAATCTAGAAATCGCACGATAACTTGGTCGTTCTCCTTAATGCATTCGAAGATTTATCTGGCACCCTGATAATTATACTCAGCACACACTCCGCTCCATCCACGATCCTTGCTGCAAACAAAAGTAGTAGCCCACATCCTGTCGAATTCTTCATTGAGAGTCCGAGCTCAGATTTTTATTCCAGCCTCGAAAATAACCACTAAGTCCCTCATCCGCTCAAATGAATACACCACTCGACAGACGCTGAGGAAGGCTACTCACTTCAAGGCCCAGCACAAGTTAGCCACATTGGAGTCTGCTCGTACAGACACGGCAACATAGGATAGGACACCGGGAGAAGACACGCTTTTTCGAGAATTTCCTATTTTCAAAACAAGCAACTTTTAATGAACTTTCTCTCCTCAGGTAATCTTAACTCATGGAAAGAGTTCGATCTTGACGGGCCGGGTGGATTTTGCTACTACTGGAGAGGCTTGGCCGTGAGTCGCTCGTGCTCTCGAGAAGGAATTTCGGAAGAGGCCCGTTGATGGGTCTGCGGCGGTTTCGCAATCAGCGGAAATTCAGAAGTTGCCGTTCCATTATTGCGTATGAACTGTAAAGAATACCAAGCAGTGCTCCAATGTCACCTGTTGCCCTTCCTTAGCGAAGCGGAGCGAAATTGCATTTTTAGCAACAGGACCACGTGTCTTTCGATGCTTCGCAATCTACCAAAGAATGGCCTTAACCAAATGGTGCTGAAGCGATAGATTGGCTTGTGTGTCCTCCTTACTGCAACCCTATAGGGAGCCCTTGATCAAGGCGTTAACTTCAGCAACCGGCAGCGGGATCGGGATGAACTGAAGGCGGCGGTAGAGGCTATTTGGGCCGACAGCGACGAAACAGCTATGCCAAACGTGGTTCAGATTATGCCGGACAGGATGTTTGAGCTAATTAGAAACTCTGGAGGCCCCACTGATTTCTAATCTCAGCTATGTTTTTGTCTTTTGTTAAGTGTGCACATACTTTTGAAACAAAGAAAAAAATTTCATCCAAAATTTTTTTCGAAAGTGAAGCGATATTATCTGCTTTGCTTCCATTGATAGGTTATCGACTACGAGAAATCGATTGAGAAGGATTTCATAGCACGAAACCTCATGGTTCCCTTTCAAACGTGAATTTTGAGGGTGTGCACATACTTTTGAAACGCACTGTATTGGAACTCCAATTTTTAAAATATGGTTCTGCAACGAATCTTCTCAATGAAAGAGCTTTGAAGGCGGGAATCGCGAATTTCATCAAATTGACCTTTTTTTCATCATGTAGTTGTGTCATGGAAAACGGTGTTGATGAAGAGGTCAAATGAATGACGGTTTGTCGAAGGCGAGTTACCGTCGAAGCTTGTTCGATTTTTGCGCTTGCCTTTGATGGAAGGTGCTCAGGTCTCATGGAGAAGGGGTTGCTTACACTAACTTGTTGAAAGAGTTACGATTCCGGAACATCGTGGGTATGGTATCGGTAGACAATGATGGTGTATGCAGTAGCACTCAAAACCTTCGTAAATCTTTTCGACTGTACTTTTCTGCTGAATCAAATTAGTTCAAGCTTCAACAAGTATTGAAGGCAAGCCTTCTTCATAAAATAGCATATTAGTGTTGATTGGGTTAAAGACTTGAGAAAGAAAAAATCATTTCACTAGAAATTCTTAAGTGTGATCAAGTCAAATAAATTTCTAATCGTAGAAAGATTACACCTATACAAAACAATTATCGCATGATGAATTGACACTAAGCAGATTGAATACTTTGTTGATATTCTTCTGGAGTAGTTTAAAAATATCAACAGGGCCTAAGTGCGAAAATCAGTCAATGGCGCCTACTTATAGAAAACTCAAAGCTTTTTTTATTGAAATTTGAGACGGAGTTTTCGGTTCATATCCTAGTTCTTTTCTCGCCCAGTTCGCCTATCTTTTTTCCATAGTGTTTTGTGCGCTGGCCAACATTGAGTTGAATTGCCCTCCCGCTCAAAGTACAAATGTGCCTTGAACGAGAAGCTTTTCGTCGACCCTACAATGTATGCTGCGACGACGCTCTAAATCTCGTCGTTCCTGCTGATGTTAGAGCCAGCTCCCAGTCGGATAAATTGACAGGTCCGCACTAAATTGACAAGACCGACGAACACAGTTAGGTTCTAGGTAATGTCCACACGTATGGCCTGTGAGCAACTACTTAGTCAATTTCATAAATAGCAATAGACGAACCCCGAAGTACACGGTACTCTACTGTGTAGGAGTAGTTTTAATAGCAGTGTGCTGTTGAGGGAGAGACGAATTCAGACGCATGTCCTGAGTGTCTTAAAACGGTATGGGAAAGAATAGGGAAACGCTAGGAAAAAAAGAGATAGGGAAAGGAGACTGTCTCACTAGGACGTAGTCATTCAATTTGGTGAGATTCACCTGAGCCCTGTTAGATTTCAGCACTGTCAATGGGTGCAACAAAGTATTGAATTGGCTAATAATTTTGTCATCGTAGTTTGCTTTTTTGAGCCTTACGAATATTATTTGAGATATCCTTAAACTTGCTCACCAGCACGTGGCTAGAATTATAGTAAATGAATTTTTCGTAATCGTTTTCCATTTCTTTTTTTTCTCAAACCTTTCTTTCAATCATTACCAAGATGCTACTTTAGTGAGAAGTTCTCTGAAAAATGTTGAAATTTAAAATGATTTGATTGCGTGTGGCTCTAGAAATCTCACTTCTCCAACCAAGGGAGATGTATAGTCTCCATGACTATCAACTGACAAGTCTATCCATCAAAGTTTTCGACAAACTAGAACAAACTGACCGCACGGATATTCTAACGTTCACATGCCCGACGATTTAGACATCTGCTCGCTATTGATACAACATTTTAACATCATTACTTGAAGAAATAGCTCGAGTAGGTGAAAATCCAAAGAGCAAGAAGTAAGAAGATGACCAGCTCGCAATTGTACCGCCTCCAGAATGCTTCACGATGTGTTCATCATTTGAAACTATTCTGTTTGAAAAATGGTGTTATCTAAAAATTTATTATCCTAAACAGAGTCCTTCGACGATTGTTACCAGTATTGGATTCATACATTTGCGGATGAGAAGTGGCTGAGCTCTAGTCGAGACATATGAAGCGCCGACGATTCATGAGGTACTAACCAAACTGACTCTGTCTTGTAGCATAGAGGCATCCAAATCAATCGCACCTCAAGTGCATCTAGCGCTTTCGACAGCATGGCGCACCTTAAACGGAGGGACAACTTAAGTCACATGTCCCGAGCGTCACTGAGACACTACAAAAAAGGGTAGAGAAGGTTGAGGCGAAAAAAGGCCCAGGGCGAGAAACTCGTCAACTTTGGAAGAAATTGAGAATGTTGTTACAATAGATAATGCTTCCATTGACTGGTTCTATACTTAGCCGTGTTGAGGTTTCAGCAACTCTAAAAGGCTATTAACAAAGTACTGGAATACACTTGATGTTTTTTATCGTACGGTCGATTGTTTTGTTGAGTGGCAAGCTTTTTACAATAATTTAAATTTAGTTGGAAGTTTGATCATTGTCGAAAATTTCTAGTGAAGGTATTTTTTCATTCCTAACTCTTTCTCCCATCCAACTAATATGCTTGCTTAGTGAAGTAATGTTGCCTCTAACATATCAAAATTTGAACTGATTTGATTCAGCAGAAAAAAGTTACGGCCGAAAATGCATTTGGCCGAAGACTTTTGAGCGCTACTGTATGTTACCATAATCCAGACAAATTGAATGAATTTTTTGAGTTTTGGACTTCGAGTTCAGACACGTTAAGCTCATAAATATCGCTAGAAAACTTTCAAACATATTTTTGAAAAAAAAACACAATTACGGAGTCACACTGGAGTCAACCCACGAACACTGCCAGTGAGCCAGGGTCATTGGCTACGCTTTCTTGATTCATAACTTCTTTTACGGAATCGTTCCGCAAATAACGAAAGCAGATTTGACCTTACCACAAGGCTCGTATATACGTGTTCAGCTCATTTCAAATGGACGGATTGACCAACTGACCTTTCCTGGTAAGCTTAAGGGTGTGACGTGTGTGACGTGAACCTCACCTATGCCACAGTCCACCGTCCTACACATGTCCCACAATTCATAGTCAAATTTCCAAAATTAAAGAAATTAAGAACGGCTCTTTCAGCGAATTCAAATACCCACACACATGTACACACTACTTCTAGCGAATTCACATGGTAATTTGACCCTGGTAACAAGCTTTTCATCGACAGGACGACATCAAGGAAGATAGCGCGCGTTTTAGATATACGTTTTACGCACATTCCATGACCACAATAGAGCGCTATCCCAGAGAAAGGAATGATGAGCGATCTGCAGCTGTATGAAGAAAGGAGTGGTACATTCATTCTCGGGTTGCACCGCAGTCTAAGCGTATCCGGACCGCTGTCGACAGTGGGATGCTATGAACTCAGTTTGCGGAAACTAGATTTAACTTTCAAAACTCTTAAGGATTCTAGAACCAACAGCAGACTACATTTATGTGAATTCGTCCACAGAGACCAAAAATATCGATTAAGAATGGCAACGAATGCATTGATAAGTGCTCCTACCTCAGAAGTGATTCGAGCAGCGATTACACTGTACTCAGTATCCGTTAAAACAATTTCGTCCGGGAAGTGGAGTAGTGCCATACCTATCCAGTCCTGAAAATATTCTCCCTCCAGATAATCGCACTATTTGCGAGAAATGAAAAAATAATAGAAAAAGGTTGCACTATTCCACTTGCGTGGAGCTTTGTATAACTACCATAAAACAGTCGAATATCAGTAATCCTATTCAGTGGAAGACCCATTGCGATCTGCATTTGAATGGCAGGAATGTTGATGCTGGCCAGCATTTCGGTGCAAGGATGCTCGACCTAAATCTCCACACATTGGTTAGCTTTTCAATACCAGGTACACCTAAGGATGAGTGTCGTCAGCTTAATCAAGATGTTGTGAACACTCTTAAACCTTCACCGCTGCGCTGAGATTTTCATGACCCTCAACTTGCCTCTCAACGCATATTGTTCAATGATGTAGATGGAGTGAGCATGACGTAATGCGTTCAGCTTCCAATAACAGAACACAAAACATGAAACGGTCACCGCATAAAAACCTATGGTTCGAGAGTTTATCAATCCAGTTGACTATTTTCTGACCAACATGACATTCATTTTAACGCGGATTACTAGCGTCAGATCTGGTGCGCAACCTTTCCACAGAAACTGTGTTATCATCGCACAGAACTTATTGACGAGACCAAATCACAAAAATGAAATCCATTTTTAGTGTTAGTTGCCGTTTCGTAATGAATATTCTATCGAGCCTAAAGCACCGTGAGCAAAAAGTAACCAATGGGGCAAAAACAACGGAACGCCTGCGGAGCGAAAGCTCTACCACTAACACATGGCCACGCAGATGCAAGATATTAGGTCGCTCATTAACATTTTTCATCTCATCTTTATTTTTTTCATTGCTTTCATAAACCGTCTGTATTCTGGAGACGAGACTCATGTACTCAGGCTTTAAACATCAGAAAGCGAGGCTTATGGAGTAAATCTGATAACGAAGTGAGTTTGACTAAGTGCGATGACTGCAACGCGTAACCATTTGTTGGCAAAAAAACAGACAAAATTTTGTGAAGCGGTGGTCGTTACATTTTGCTGTTGAAGCGTAGTGGACACGGACCTGGCGCCAGATCAAAGGTACTTTAAACAGAAGATGGCTATTTAAGCCACCAGTCTTCATGTACCTAAGTGGTGAGCAGCAGTCAAGTATGACTCAATTTCTAGATGGGTGCTTCAATCCACTGCGGCTGCTAGAAAATGTTCGAAGGAAGAATCAGATAGGTTCTTAAGTAAGATAGTGCATTTCACTTACATAGAACTGATTAGTAGCGCTAGGGGAATTTGGCGAAATGACGGAAATATGGACATGAAAAGCTTCGCGAAAACTCAGGTTGCCATTTAACTGATCAAGTTGTGGTTATATCAGCAGCTGAATCGCGGCAGTGGTGAGATGGATGGAAGATTTATAGACTGTCTATGTATAAACACCTGAAGTCTCGGCGTTGGTTCAAGGAGAGATATTTGTCCTGTGGAAGGTAATGGTATGCCACAAAGTACAGCGATTATACAACTAGTTTGAGGCCAATATTTAAACCGCATGCCTAACAAAACACCCATACCCTTTGCGTACAATCCAATAAACACGTAATTAATAGGTGTGCAAAAAAATTGCAACATGAGGTTAGATTTGGAACGAGCCTTACCTCCTGCATCTCCTAAGAGTTTCCTTGGGGAAGCGATATGCGGAGCCTCCTCAAATAATCTTCTGGACATCTCGACTGATAGAACAGTCACGAGTGAAGCCGGAATACGTTTTATCATATCCTTAACGAATGCTCAACCGACAGAATTAGCTTTCAAAGTTCTCTTATAGTTGTAGATGATAAACCTTAAGACATCAAACTTTTCAAAGTGGTAATGTATTACCTGTCGGCCTATGAAGTTGATTCGATCTATGTTTGCATGTCTCGACAGCACTTCTTATGAAGATCGGGCGATAAGGCCTGGTTCGGTTTGCACTTGAACAAAGTTCTCTTTGAAATCCGCCTCGTTCTTGCATTTCCTGATACCTTTTCCACCACCGCCTTCGGAGGCTTTGATCTGTGATTAAAGAGAAACTGTGCCAAAAACGCAAGATAATGAATAATGTCTCTATGTATACACTGCTCTGCTCTGCATGATAATAGTTCCACAAAGGGTAAAGCGAGAGGTCGAATAAAAATTTTAGACATCAACCGCCTCACACTGACCCAACCGCGACTCGCGGTTCCCACCTCCTCTAGCGGGCAGGGCTGCTGGTCCTGCCCCTTGCGACCCCCTCCTTCCCACCGGATCAAATATGATAACCCCGTTGAGGATACCTAGCCCCTGTGCCTTTCCGTGTATTCAAACATTAATGGACAATTATTCGAAAACAGTGCCCATACTTGCTTTTTTTCAATCGCAAAAGAAAACAGTGAAACTCTCACCATAAGTGGGTACCCTATTTTGTGTTCTTCGAGTGCCCGCAATCCTTCGAAGAGATCGGAGACAGTGGCTTGGTCGAAGAGGTCCTGGGTGACAGTGACATGCTCCCCTTCTTTCCTTTCGCTCAAATCCAGCCTCAGTCCGCTACCAGACCATTCTATTGTAGGAATGTCCAAAGTCTGAAAATTTGCTAATAAAGAACACAGCATGGTCAATGGTAACAAAACATGAGACACGACGGTTGAAGTTTTTACCTTTTTCACTTTTATCTTCTATACCTAAACCAATACAAGAGCGACAATGTGTATAAAAGGATGCTTTCGGTGATTCCACCCTTCAGCCATTATGTTTACCCAACCAAAATAGCGACGGTCTGGCAATACTAACACGTACTTTCTAAACCGTTCGTGCATCATGGAAGCACACCATAGCAGGTTTGTAAAATTCCCAGCCACTATATAAGGCCAGCGTAACCAGCTTCACATAGAAAAATCAAAAATGTCGGTAACGAGTCAATCTATACAGCATAGCTCGGAGCTATCCTACCTGTCCTAGGAGCATCGGCAAATAATCAAACTGCGGGCGCATATTCTAGCAGCACTGTTGGCATGTGACTTCACAACAGCGATCATCAGCACCTGCCATATGTTATCTGAGTATTCATGACAAAGTATTAGGTTGCCCAGAGGGTAATGCAGGTTTTTGCCAGAGCTCATAGTCAACTTCAATTCGGCGAAAAACCACTATATTTACGCATCTGCTGCAACAAGGAAAAAGCTGGACCAATAGAGATCTAAAAATCTAGAACCCATGGAAGCGCTAGAATCGTTTGTGGTTTTTCCAACACACCTCTGCTCTCAAAAACCGAACCAAGAAGCTGCCGAGATGATTGAAAAAGTGGAAGTTGGTGAGAGAGAGATGGTACGAGCGCACTGGGTGGAGCAAAAGACCTTGCTGTTTACGACGCTTCTCTTCAGTATACTAGACAGACATTGTACTGAATTTTCCCGAAAAATGTTTCGTAGGTTCACCGCAGTCTTACATGTTGTCGAGGAAATCGGCGATTTTGTTGGTGCTGTAGCTTATGCGGTGCCATTTTCGCAATTTCTCATTTTTCCATGCCTCAGGGCAATTAGAGATTTGATATGTTGCTCCAGGTATACTGTGACCGCGGACATACAATATTCAAGGATTTCTTTTGCACGCGCAATTAGTTGCACATCGCACCTCATGCAATTTCAACTCGAAGAAGTAAATTTGCCTAAAGCTGCTGCGAATATGTTGGAACACTGTATCCATTCCACTCACCACTAAATAAGCTGGATGGTCATTGAAGGAACCATGGGAAACCAATAGGAATATGAAGATGTCACGTCGTGTTTGGAGTTGACCTGAGGTCAGGGTATGCGAGATACAGACTCCATATTTTTGGATCTCGCGAGTCTGTGGAGATGTCTCATGTCTCATTACTGTCACCTTATTAGATCAAATGCGCTTTAGCAAATAACAGCTAGTTTGTCCAGTTTACTTTTCAGCAGCGTCAGGCAAAGTATGTTGAGAATGGCGAGATGGCCGGTGTGTGGATGACTGAGCGGAATCCACTGATATCCTCTGCGATCGGCGATACTCCAGAACGTTCAAGGGGATATCATGAGGTGTATCATACATTAACCCTTTGGCGACAATGCGATTTTTTCGCGTGTCTGCCACGCCTTTTTTCAATATTTTCGAAAAATGCGTCATAATGCAGCAAACCACCGGCACCAAAAATATTGAATCTCAAAGCAGAAACTGTTGAGACTTTGCAGGTCTCAAATTGTTGCCGATCGCTGCGAAAATGAGCGTAAATCTTTTCGTTTTGTCCAAGGTGGCAATTTTCTATTCTAAAATCCCTATATTGGGTCGGATCCAGATCATTTTCTTTGAAAAGTTGTATCACTACTCTATCTAATGGAAAACAGAAAGCCAGCCTTATACGTTCAAGATCCCCTTACGTAAACATCAATTAGGAAAGATATGCAAGGACCATGATTACCATAAGTACTGCAACGCCTTCCTGATTAATATGCCACTAAAATAATTTTGGAAATCCTGCGCAGAAGAATTATCTCTATGCTGCGTCCCCACATCGAGCCGCAATGTCGCCAATGGGTTAACAAGCTTAAAATTCCCCATGTCAGGAGGTGCTTATAGGTAAGCATCATGAAAATGACTTTACTCCGATGAAGTGGGGGTAGTGAAAAATGCGTACGACTAGACACGACTGGACAGGGTCTGAAATAAGGACACCAGGGCGATGAATAGGGATGAGGCGAGGGAAGGGGAGGGGGTAGGGGCGATGGGCGACCCGTCTGTGGAGGGTCTTCAGCGATATTGGTGAATCCCAACGTTAATACTACAGTCAAAAGCCGAGACATTGAGCGAG